GTGAACAGTTCGTCGTCAAGTTTACTACTACCTCCATCTCATAAAATATAATTGAAGTTCAACTTTTGATCTTCTACTTTTAAAATTTGAATTTCTCACAAACACCCTTATCGTATTTTCTTAAATGTTTCAATTCAAATTACTCTGTCCTTTTCATACACTGACACTGCCCTTACAGTTTTCAATGCCCCTTTTCATTTCCAATTTACCCATCCTTCCCCACCCACCAACAATAATGGCAATTTCAAAATCACAATCTGCCTCTGGGTTGGCCCCCTTTCTTCCCAATTGCAATTGGCCCCAATCTTTCCTCCCACTCATTTTCCCCATGGCAATTTCAAAATCACAATTGCCTATCCACATTTCGAATTGACCCATTTCCAATTTGGCCCCAATCCTTCCTCCCCTCCCACTCATTTTCCCCCATGGCATTTTTCAAATCACAATTGCCCATCCACATTTCGAGTTGCCCCATTTCCAATTTGGCCCCCATTCTTCCCCTCACTCATTTTCCCCCATGCACATTTTCCAATTCACAATTGACCCCCATCCCTCTTCCACTTTCAATTGGCCCCTTTTTTCCCCATTCCCTCCAAGACAATTTTCAAACCAAAGTTGCACTATCATCCTTTACCTGCAATCGACCATTGCGTATCCCCCATAAAACTTTATATACCTTAATATAACTTAATATAACTTAATATAACTTGATAACCATAACATATGAAAATTGACCTTCGTGACATTACACAATTACTCTACTTTTTAAAAAGTAAAGTTATTGCAATTTTTGGTTTTCTCGGTTTATTTCTATTATTTTTATTTCTAAACTGTATCTTATTCAATATTTTTGGACACCTTTAATTCCTTGAATGCAACTTCTTTTTGTGTATCATTTAAAATTGTGTCATATCGCTCGCATAGATTGGAATCTATTTTGCAATTTGCTCAAGTTTAAAAATTAAATTTTCCGCTAATTGTATGATTCTAGTCTTTTTTGTTTATGTTGCGATTCATTCTAGTTAATTATTTTTGCATCTTTGGTTTCTATTTTTAGTAACTACTTTGAAACAAAGAATTATCTTCTCTTGTCCATTAAGTAGTTACTTTTTTTATTTATTTATTTTTATGGAATTTTTTTTTGCTTTATTCAATTTATTGTGTCGAAATAGAAGTTACTTTGAATCATTAACATATAAGCTTTGAAAATCAAGGCGGTATTAAAATTTTTTATTTTTTCATTGTTTTAATTAACTATAGTATTTTGTTAGCATAGTTTTATTAAGTTTAAAGAAGATTATTTTTGACTGAGGTTCTACTATGAAAATATAGAAATATTGCGTGAAAAGTATGTCGTCAATCTTACTACTACCTCCATCTCATAAAATATAATTGAATTTCAGCTTTTGCTCTTCTACTTCTAAAATTTGAATATCTCACAAACACCCTTATTGTATTTTCTTAATTTCCTCAATTCAAATTACTTTGTCTTTTCGTACACTGCCCTGACAGTTTTTAATGCCCTTCCCATTTTCAATTTACCCATTATTCCCCTACCACTCATAATGGTAAATCCCAAAATCTAAGTCGCTGTAGGGTTGGCCCCCTGTCTTTTCAATTGGCCCGCAATCCTTTCTCCCCTCCCACTCATTTTTCCCCATGGCAATTTCCAAATCACAATTGCCCATCTACATTTCGAGTTGCCCCTCTCCAATTTGGCCCCCAATCCTTCCTCCCACTCAGTTTCCCCCATGGCAATTTCAAAATCACAATTGCCCATCCACATTTCGAGTTGACCCCTCTCTTCTCAATTGGCCCCAATCCTTCCCCCCACTCATTTTCCCCCATGCCAATTTCCAATTCACAATTGCTCCCAATCCTCTTCCACTTCCAATTGGCCCCTTCTTTCCCCCCATCCACACACTCCATGACAATTTTTAAAACAAAGTTGCACTACCATCCTTTACCCGCAATCGACCATTTCATTCACCCACACATATTCTCTCATCAAATGGCAATTTACCAGATGCAATTCTTTGTCTTTTTTAAGTTCGTTTATTATTTTTTTGCGCCATTTTACTTAATCACTTTAGATATGTCTATTTCTTTGAGTAAAAAACTTTTTTTATACATTCCACGACTATGCACTCGTTTCTCTGATAGACTGATATTCACTGTTAAAGTTATTAATTTTTGAAGAACAATCTTTACGTTTATTGCGTGTTTATATTTTTTTGTCAAGGTTGTTATCAAATTTTGCTGATCGTTTTTATTTTTGTTGTGTATATTTTTAGTAAGTATTTTGAAATTAAACTAAAAATTATTCGCTTTTGTCAATTTAGTGGATACTGTATTAATATAGTCTTTTTGAAATTAATTCTTTTTTTGTTTTGTTGAGTTTTTTGTGTTTATATAATATTTACTTTGAACATTTCATTGTAACAGTTAAAAATTAAGTCAATGATCAAATTTTTTAATAATGCTTTCATTGTTTCAATCAATTATATTAAATTGTTATTATATTTTCTTTAGAAATTTTATAAGAAGATTATTTTAGAGTAAAAATGTATCATGAAAGCATGGAAACATTATGTGAACAGCATGTAATTAAACTTTCTACTACTATTATCTCATAGAATAGAACTGTAGTTCAAATTTCAATCTTTTGTTTTTCGAATTGGAATTTTTCAAACACCCTTCCTGTACGGATTCTCCCAAGATTTTCAATTTACATTCAGTCCTCTTTGCACACTGTCCTCAATTTCAAATGTCCCCATTTCTAATTTACCCATTCTTCCCTGTATCCATAATGGCAATTTTCAAATCAACACAATCGCCTTTGGATTGGCCCTCTTCTCCAATTTCCTCAAACCCCTTTCCCCACCCATTTTCCCCCATCGCAATTTCCCCTCCCATTTCCAATTACCCATTCTTTCCCAGCCCGCCACAATGGCAATTTCCAAAACACGATCACCTTTGTGGTTGGCCCAAATTGGCCCCTTTCCCCACCCATTTTCCCCTTGGCAATTTCCCCACTCTCTCCCATTTCCTCCAATTTACCCATTCTTCCCCAGCCCACCACAATGGCAATTTTCAAATCAACGCAATCACCTTTGGGTTGGCCCCAATTGGCCCCTTTCCCCACCCATTTTCCCCTTGGCAATTTCCCCACTCTCTCCCATTTCCAATTTACCCATTCTTTCCCACCCCATACCCATAATGGCAATTTTCAAGTCAAAATTGCGCGGGCCCATTCCTAATTGGCCACTCTTTCCAAATTGCCCATCTTTCCCATTAGCAGAAACAATCAGTAAAAAGTGTGTATATTGGTGCTCAGCATATTATGCAGAATCAGACCCTATGGCAACAACAAAATCTTCATTTTAGAGTATAGCAATATGATTCAACATTGGGTCAATTCTGGAAACAATGGATTCAAACGAGTTTCGGTCAACGATCTGTTTAGTATTAGAAAGTTATTTGCAACTATGAGGAGAGAATGTGGGGATTTTCTCTAGTTATGATTCTTGTCAAGAAAACTATCAACTAGATTGTCCTCTGTGTATTTAGATGAAAGAATACTAGTACTCGTTGGAATGTCGTCTGCCAAGTCTACTTGGGTAAATTCTTCCAGTAAATCCATACAGTCGTGAAGCAATCGGTATTAAATAGACTATTGAGGATATATAAATACTATATGACCCAAAGTCTAGGGTATAACGACTCTTCTTATGGGACAGAGAGTTTTATAGTGCCATGATAAAGTATCTTGATGAGCTAAAGAACTCGTAATAGACGGACAACCCAGTGTGGTTCAAACAACCCATTTTATTCTATTAGCACTGTCCAATCCAGTCCGTATTCAGCTTGAGAATGCACAATGAAACTACTCCTATTTGTATCACTTACCTTGTATATATCTTTTTCTATGGTACAACTTGTCTTTGACTCGCAAAACAACAATCTGTCTAAAGTGAATTCTTAGATCACCTTTTTGAATAGAATTGACCAACTACTATTCCTCAAATACTGGAATCAGTCAATTTCACAAGTCCAAGTGCAATTATTTGTCAGTTGATGAATAAATAGGCTAGTATGACATAAAGCAATCAATCATTCAGTCAATGAATCAATACAAGCCAAACTCAATTCTTCATCCATAAAGATAACAAAGAGTTTGCTGTGAAAGGCATCCTGTACTAGTAAAAGCTGTACCAGGTTATTAACTTGATTTTGTAATAGCTTAATATAACAAAGGTAAGGGACAACTTTTTTCACCAAAGGAAGTAAACGGACATAACCATATGTCTCAGCATGACTTGAAGTACTAACAATCAAAGGTTAGGATCAAAGTGCTTCTTCGTCAATCTTCTCAAGTTGTCGTGTGGATTCAAATCTTTCAAACAACATAAAACCGAATGTTTGCGTTCTTCTATTTAAAATGGTAATGATCTCTAAAAGTTGCTGAGCATACAGTTCCTTTCAGTTGAGTTGAATTGTCTCGTATGTTTATGATTTTGTAGTTAGCTGCGGCATTATTTATGTCCCACTATCAAATCGATCCTTGATGAAACAGATTGGTGACAACTTGGTTCTATCAAAACTGTACAATTCATAGCCATAAAACTTGATAGTCTCAACGATACCAAGGCTTTTATGAACTAAGTTACAGGATGAGCTGTATGATAAACAGTGAAAAAAAAGCTAAGGGTAAATTCGAATAGCATATGATAGGTACTCTTCAAATACAGTATTCATAAGAAAATATGAATTCAAATGGACAAGGTCAAGTCGTTCTATTTGACACCAAGTTCAATACAAAAGTGGCCAGGATAGATTACAGTCCCTCTTTCTGCAACTTAAAATCGAGCTTGTCTTTAGGCATGAATGATATGACAGAAACCAATAATATTCTATTTATGACGGACTCGTGCAATTCTATAGGTAAGGCTCCGTGAATAAGAGAATGAAAGGTGCTTAAAGAAAAAATAAATTGCTCTTAATCCGACATTGTTCTGATTCTCTCAAGCAAAGCACCTGGCTTATTCACTAGTTTGATGGTTGATTGCCCTGTTTTGCACAGTCGCTTGTTTCTCCACTCAATACAGTTTAAACTCGATTCAACATAGCCGAAACTATGATCTTGAAATCAGTTGAATTTAAACTGATTCCTGGACACTAGCTCATATCCCTATTGTCTCTAGTCTTGTCGATTAGATAGAAAAATGTATCCGTTCCACAATTGAGGGACGTATTGAGTTTTTAATATAGGCAAAGCGAGTGGTCGTAAAACACCATTCACAATTCTAAATAAATGACGAACTATAGAAGAAATGGTATGTTTATGACTCTTCGAGAATAGTGGTGTAGTGAGAAGTGTTGTCCTATTTCTTGTAAGAGTTGCTGTTATTGTTGTCGTCAAATGTGCAAATCAGATAGTAAATTCTGCTTTTGTGATCATTTCTGCCAGTTTGTACCAAGACCTCAATGATTTTTGCAATGGAATGTAAATATATGCAAGCTTCTTTGTGGTCCGGTTTAGTTGTTCGATTGAGATTAGATTGATTAGTTCGAATCTAAAACCATTCGTCGAGTATTATGATGAGTGATATCCTTCTTCATGGAATACTAGTGTCGAGATCGAGTTGAATCATAAACTTGATATTGTTCTTTCTATGAATGTTGTTGTCTACACTTTCCAAACTAGTAAAGAAAGTTACAGCTATATAGAGAATAATATCTACAGAGATGCAAATAATGATTCTGCAAGTAAGATTGTGTATTCCTTGCTTTATTCTAAACTTTACCTTTTCGAATAGAAATTTGATTGTATTCTATCAGTGAGGATTGTATGATATTCATTTTAGATATAAAAAAAGGGAAGAAGAAGAATAAGGTGAGTGTGAAAAGGATAAAGAATGCCTACAGTAATCAGGTCTTTGAAGCTTTGGACAATTTATAACGATTAGGGATGCCATGAAATACACAAACATTAAACATATTGTTTCAACAGCCTACTTTTTATCTTATGGTGTTCAAATACAGGTCATGCATATCAGTAGAATGGATAAACAAAACAAAATGCCATAAACGCTCTACTATTACCAGTATGAGATACTACTAGGGAATACTTTTTCTATTAATGACGACAAGAGTATCGTCGATGTTTCTAGAGAGAATCAAAGTCAAGACTTTTGGCTCATAACACTATCTCTGTAGTCTATTAAACTAGGAAGCCATTTTTTTCTTTTTTCACTTTATATCTTTCATCATATATTTTCTTTCAAAGCAAATTGTTGTATTTTTTTGTTTAGCGAGTTGTATAAAAGTTGAAATGAAAGGAATCATTTTCTTCATCTTGTACTATATACAACATTTCAACATGACAAAGAGATTCAATAGCTTGTATCAGCAAGGTTACTTTGCTTCTTTTTGCAGCTCCTTTGTGACCAATCGTCTGCAATCTAGTTGAGTCTTCTTCTAAATCAGGTGATTCTGTAGTATATGAATAGTATAGTTTATCGCTGTGATACTTTATTTCAATTAAAGTTCAGTTTTTAGTTTTTATGTAATTATTCCGACTTTCTTGAAAAGATAAGATAACAAGATGATGACTACTCTCCGACCAGTCAATAGAAACAAGCAATAGACTTTTAACATAGTATCTTTATCCACAAAGTGATGATTCTATGACGCAAGTTGAGCTTGGTGCCAAGGCAGTAAAAGGAGAACGTGTTCCACCAATATTGATAGGAACAATTGGATTCAAACAAAGTCTAATTGAATTCCGTACAGATACAAGAATAGTGGATGCTGATTGATTTATGCCCATCCATAGTAACATGTTCTCAATATTCTAGAAATACATTGTCATTCTATATGAAAGTCAATCCACAAATGTACCTTAACTGAATTATGGACAACGGCTTACCCTAATATTGCAAACAGCATACAAAAATCAAGGAAAGATTGATGCTTTGCTACAATTCGGATTCTCACCTAGTGATTCTCGAATGAATTCATCTTCGACTTGATTCTAAGTGATCCAAATAATAGTCTGTAAATCATCCTTTTAGGTTAAGGACTAGATTATTTTAGACAATTCAAGATAATCTTGGACAATTCGACGCTGAATCAAGCATATAGGGTGCCTAAAGACCACATAAGACACTGCTTCGGATATAAAGACTCTGTACATACAACAGCAAGATTTCAAGTGCAAAGGTACAAAGTTTTTATCCACTCGACAACTAGTAGTCAATAAAGTATCAATTCTACCTTAAAGTAGCCATCTTATACAAACACTATCTAGCAGAAGTTCTATTGGATAACCCAATGTCCACTTAATGACAATTCAACCAACTCTCTTTTAGATACCCCTAAAAAATAACAACGTATATTAGTCTTCCTATCAAACAATTGATTTTGAATGGAAACGTTGATTCAACTTTTTGTGCATCGAGTTGTGCCGTTATCTTGTCTAACACATTGACTCCATTCATTACTAGGGCTGTATTTCACTAGTCAACTTTGAACGTTTCTAACGATCAACGCATTAAAATGTAAATCTTGAAAAAAGATTGAAATCTGATATTAGATTCTTGTCTGCGAAGTGACTATAGCTTACCCAGTGATGCTTGGTTGGAACGAAATGATATAACTAAAGGTACTTTAAAACAAGTAGTTATCATTTGAATCAAATACAGTGCAACAAATATATCTAAATAAACAACCAGTTAATATCAAAATATATAAACTAGTAGTAACAGATTCGTGGCGCTGCAAAGGTATAATGCGATTCATCGCTTGAGTCGATTCGTGAAGCTTTCTAGGATGAAATGATCGAAAAATCGTAACTAGTATCGCAAATAAAGTGCAAATGTTTGGGAGGACTAATTGGACACTCTGCTACTACTATGTTCTTTTCAAACCAAGTATTTATTTAGCTAAGCCTCGGTATCCTTAGTAATACTACTACTATTAATACTATATGGCATATCGTTTTTCCCGGGATACGGACTAAACGAGTTCGATAAATTCAGTATGATCTCTAGGAATTCAAAAGTTGAATCAACCATAGAGGACATTTCACTTATGAAACAGAATTTCATCTTGATGAGATATTCGACTAGTAATCAACCAATAACCAATTCTTACACAAAAAGTCATTTTAAATGAGCAATACCAAGAGGCATCTTACTTTCTTTCCATTGAACAGTAAATCATTGAATTCAGTATACAATTCAAGTAATATAAAACAGTAACCAGTTTCTAGATACGTTGAGAAGGAAGAAACCAAATAAACCTTTTCTTACGTATCTACTAGAATAATTGTGCCATATCCCGTTGAGATTTAACTAGAAGTGGTAAGATTCAGAGTAGTACTCTAAAGCAAATGATTACTGCTTACTTCAATACAGCTATAACCAGAATTGTTTCGGATATCACACTAAAATAAGATTCAAATTCAACACATCAATAGAAACAAGGTATTGATATGGCATAAATACATTGTCATTTATCACTTGAATCAATTGTGGTAATAGTCCAAGATTAAGAGGTGGATGAAAACCACCAAAGGTTGTAAAAAGGTTCAAGAATCAAAGGATATACAAAAAGATCCTGAAATTAGAACATGACTATCAATTTATGTTCTGCTGCTACTTGTGTAAAAAGCACAGAAC